AGACCGCCGATAAATGTAGTGAGATCCTCAAGAAATCTAACTGAGACCCTCGATGTTGTGATAAAGAACCAACTAGAAATTAAGCATACACTGACTAAAATAAAGAATATTATGCAGACTCCCAACAGCAGACCAGAGGGTCGCAAGAATCAAGTCAAAGATTTGAAATACGAAGAAGCAAAAAACACCCAACCAGAAAAGCAAAATGAAAAAAGAATCCAAAAATACCAAGATAGTGTAAGGAGCCTCTGGGACAGCTTCAAGCGTACCAACATCCGAATTATAGGGGTGCCAGAAGATGAGAGAGAGCAAGATATTGAAAACCTATTTGAAGAAATAATGACAGAAAACTTCCCCTACCTGGTGAAAGAAATAGACTTCCAAGTCCAGGAAGCGCAGAGAACCCCAAACAAAAGGAATCCAAAGAGGACCACACCAAGACACATCATAATTAAAATGCCAAGAGCAAAAGACAAAGAGAGAATCCTAAAAGCAGCAAGAGAGAGAAAATCAGTTACCTACAAGGGAATACCCATACGACTGTCAGTTGATTTCTCAACAGAAACTTTGCAGGCCAGAAGGGAGTGGCAAGAAATATTCAAAGTGCTGAATACCAAGAACCTACAACCAAGACTACTTTATCCAGCAAAGCTATCATTCAGAAGTGAAGGCCAGATAAAGAGCTTCACAGATAAGAAAAAGCTAAAGGAGTTCATCACCACCAAACCAGTATTATATGAAATGCTGAAAGGTATCCTTTAAGAAGAGGAAGAAGAAGAAAAAGATACAAATTATGAACAACAAATACACATCTATCAACAAGTGAATCTAAAAATCAAGTGAATAAATAATCTGATGAACAGTATGAACTGGTGATTGTAATAGAATCAGGGACATAGAAAGGGAATGGACTAACTATTCTTGGGGGCGGGGGGAGAAGGGGTATGGGGGTGAGGGAAGAGACTGGACAAAAATCGTGCACCTATGGATGAGGACAGTGGGTGGGGAGTGAGGGCGGAGGGTGGGGTGGGAACTGGGTGAAGGGGAGTTATGGTGGGAAAAAAGAGTAACTAATGTAATAATCTGAACAATAAAGATTTAATTAAAATTAAAAAAAAAAAAAAGAAGGTTGGGATTCACTGCTTTCACAATGCCAGGGCTCCTGAGCAGTGGGTATCATTACAGTTTTGGTTTTGTTGTGGTTGGTGGGAGGGTGTTTTGTTAAAACACTTTTTTTTTTTTTCCTGCTGGGAGGGTATTGGCAGCAAAAGTAGATTACCCTTACTCAACACAAAGCAGAACTACCAGGTCTGCCTAACCCACTTCTCTCTCTAAGCAACTCCCCACCCTGAAAAAGATGCCATCCCTAATCTCACTGCAGTCTGAATCAGTCAGGGAAGGTGGCTGTGCCTGTGGCAGGTACACTGACAGATGCCAGGCCTGACTTCCTCATTAGACTCCATCCGAGTCCTGAGTGCTGGGGTCATTGCCACCTACAAACCAAGTCACCACAGTGGGCCTTTAAAGTGATTGTAGCCTGGCCAGCATGGTTCAGTGGTTGAGCATCAACCTATGAATCAGGAGGTCACAGGTTCGGTTCCCAGTCAGGGCACATGCCTGGTTTGGGGCTCGATTCCCAATAGGGGGTGTGCAGGAGGCAGCCAATCAATGATTCTCTCTCATCTTTGATGTTTCTATCTCTCACTGCCTCTCCCTTCCTCTCTGAAATCAATAAAATAAATACAAATAAAAAAGTGATTGTAAATCCCACCCGGCTGATATGACTCAGTGGTTGAGCATTGACCTATGAACCAGGAGGTCACAGTTCGATTCCTGGTCAGGGCACAGGCCCAGGTTGCGGACTTAATCCCCAATAGGGGGCGTACAGGAGGCAGCTGATCGATGTCTCTCATCAAAGTTTCTATCCCTCTCCCTTCTTCTCTCAAATGAATAAAAACGTAAAAAAATAAATAAATGAAGTGATTGTAAATCCTGAGTTAATATTTTGGGTCACAAGTTTGAACTTGTAGAGCAGGTTGTTCTGTATACCTAAGGGTGAGGGAGAAAATTGGACAGTACGGTGTGTGCCTGCCTTCTCTACCCGTTTTCTCCCACTCTCAACTTCCTCCTGCGGGAAGCTTTTGAGGCTGGGACAGTGGTGTCCTGTGCCTCTGTGTCTCCTGTGCTAGTTTACCGGAGGGAGTTGTTCGGGTCCACCTTGGGCATGCGGAGTTGTCCCCTGAGCGACCCCTGCGAGGCCTTGGAGCACCTCCCCCTCCCTGTCCTCACCCTGATGGCAGCGATTAGCAGGTGGAGGAGATGGAAGCGAAGCAATGCTGGTGCCCACCTCTTCCCCATTTTGCAGTAACACAGACCTGGGTGGCTGGCCACGTAGCGGGGCTGGAGTTCTGAGGGCTGCAGGGGAGACTCCAGGCCTGGTACGTGGTCTCCTGGGTGGCCGGCTGTGTTGGGGAAGGGCGGCTCAGGGATGGCGTCCTCGGGGCCCAGGTAGTTGTAGAAGGGGGCCCCGTCTGGGCCATAGAGGCTGTAGTGCAGGTCCTCAGACCCGGGGCCATACTCATAGCCTGGTCGGAAGTGGACCCCAGCCTCCCGCTCGGCTTCAATCCGGGCCACGTTGCACAGCTGAGCATAGACCTCTGTCAGGGAGGAGAGAGAGGGGAAGCTGGGCCCGGTCCCTGGCAGTGACAGCCTGGTGTGCTGTCCCCTGGCTCACTACACCGGGGAGAGGGAGCACGCTGGGACCGGTGTCCTCTGAGAGCTCCTGGCCGTGCCCCACCGCCTGCCCCACTTTATTCCCAAACAGCAGGGACTGAAGACAGGGCCACTACTCCGGTTGCCCCACTCCCTTCTAACCCCCCTTCCATGGCGAGGGCACTCTCCACCCTGAGGCCCAGCCGGCTCTGCAAGGTCTCCCCTCCCTCCGTGCAGGCGCAGGCCGCCCTCTCACCAGAGCTCGTGGGGGGGCACAGGGCACACTGCTGGCTCCAGGCCTCGCCATCCTGGCAGCAGCATTCCGTGTAGGTGGTGCGGCGCCCGTGCAGGGGTTGGCTGCACACGTAATTGGTGACTTTTTTCCAGCAGATGTCCATGTGGATGTCATGGTCAGGCAGGTCCTCTGGTGGCACAGAAAGAGGCCCTTAAGCCCCCAGTCTAGGTCCACTCCCCCTGCGGCCCCGCCATCCCAGGCCCACTGACCCATGTCACTGGTGCTGTTCACGCAGCGCTGCTGGCTGAGGTCCAGGGTGAGGGGGGGGCTGCAGAAGCAGTGGAAAGAGCCCTCCGTGTTCACGCATTCGCCGTTCTCGCAGGCCATGTCCTGGCACTCGTCATGATCTGTGGGGGCAGGAAGACAGGAACATGTGGGGCAGTGCCAGGACGGCTTGCCCACGGACCACTTTCAGGGAAAGGGATTTGCTTGTAACTGATAAGGGAGAGGTAGCACCCTGCTTCCCCCTCTCCTGCCCCCAGCCCGGCCTGGGAGACCCCTCCCCAGGGGTACTTTTCCAGCAGGTCCTCACATACAATCCCCGACGTCCCCACAGCTCCCCTCCCCTCAGACCTGCCTGCTGCAGCCAGAGGGTGTCTGTCCCTGGAAGGGGAACTCCCAGCAAGACAGGGGCTGGCTGGCAGGGCTGGGTGAGCAATCAGCTGTTGGGGGGCAGGGGGGGCAGGGGGAGTGTATCCTCACCTTCACACTTCCTGCGGGTGGCATCGTAGTGGTAGCCAGGATTGCACAGGCAGATGTAGCCGGGAACCGTGTTGAGGCACCGGCCGTTCTGGCAGAGACCAGGCCCGAACATCACACACTCATCAGCATCTGTGGAGGGCAGGGCTGATGTAAGGGCAGGTGAGAAGCAGCACCTGAGATTCAGGGCTCCAAAGCCAGGTTCTGGGTTTGAATCCTGGCCCTACCACTTGCTAGCTGGGTAACTTCAGGCAACTTGCTTCAGTTCTTGCCTCAGTTTCCTACCTAAAAATGTAGATATGACTAATCTCTTACAGTTGTTATGAGAATTAAAAGATTAATACATGTAAGGTGCTTAAAATAGTGCTTGGTTTTCTATTGTTTCTTTCCCCAGCTCTGGGACTAGGGTGCTCACACCTAAACTACCCATTTGACTGTGGGTTCCCCAAAGTTGCTGGCTTTGTAAGTGGGGCTGCCGCTGGCCTCGGCACAGGGCACTCCCCGCTCTTTCCCTGTGCCCATGACTGGGTTAGTCAACGCATCTTAGCTTGTTCCTAAAGGGTTCAGCCTCAGGGGAGCAGAAAAACCAAGGTGGGGTTGTATGAACACTCCAAGAGGAGCTCTGGTCAGAACTTCCAGCCCAAACTCTGCAGGTCACCAGCCCTAGGACAGGAGGGATGAAAGTGACCTGCATGCCGTCAAGAGCTTCCCGGGACCTGCTGGGGGGCCTGCTGGGCCTGCTCAGGTGATTGGAGGTTGGGGAGCAGGAGGTGCAGGGAGGTTACCTGTGTACGTGGTCTGTCCAAACATCCAAGCTCCTTCCACAGGGATGTAGCCTTTACCACTGGGGCAGATCTCGCTGAATTCGACTGTAGGGAAGCATCCGAGCTCAGAGAGAGGAGGGCTCTGTCCCCTTCGCTCGGTGTCACCCTGCAGGACTTAGGACCATTGGGGCTGTACCTGAGTCCTCGGCTGGGCAGAGGTCACAGGCGTCTCCCCAGCTGGCACCCTGGGTGCAGCAGCACTCGGCCTGCGTGGTGTTCCGGCCCAGGAGGCGGGAGCAGGGCGGCTGGTCTTTGTGTCCAGAGTAGCATTCCATGCGGACGGGGCCTGAGAGGTGGTCCCCTGGCGGGGCCTTGGGGATGCTCTGACCTGTGTGTGATAGAGGCCCCTTGTTATTATCTGTTCATGGCCCTCTGGGACGCCCTAGCCTTTACAAATTTAACATTTAAATACCACTTTACAGTGCACAAAATGCTCTTACCTATATTTCCTCACTTGATGCTCTCCACAGCTCTATGTGGTGAGCATCATTACCATCAGCACCTCTTACAGACAGGCAATCAAGATAGAAAAGCTAGGACATACCACACCCCAGCTACCCTACCCCTGCCCACACCGCCCCAGTCCGGGCCCAGGCTCCCTCTCAGGAGCTGGAGAATGGCTGTGCATAATGGCTGGGTGGGGTCTGGAGCAGGCTCACCTGCGGCCCCCCGTGGGCGGCAGTGCCCCTCCTGAGCATCGTACTCCTCCAGGTCGCTGGCGCAGAGGCACAGGAAGGAGCCTTCCACGTTCTCACAGAGCGCCGCCCCGCACACAGCCAGCATGAGCTCACACTCGTTCACGTCTGCCAGGCGTGAGGACAGGCTCGTGGGTGGAGAAGAGGCAGCCCACGCCCTCTGCCCCTCCCTCCAGCCTGGGGGGCAGATACTTAGCCCCTCAAGCAAAGAGGCTGGGTCTTGGGGGAAGAGCAGGAATGGGCAGGAGTTCTCAAGAAGGAGGAACAGATGAACAGGGCATGGGAAGAGGGAGAGAAGGGTGGCAGACAGGGTCACTAACTGGACAGAGAAGAAGGGTTCTGACCGACATGCCTCTTGAGACCCCGAGGTCTCTGGAGAAGGGTGGCGCCTTCATGAATGTGCCTGCTCCCCCTGGCGGACTGTGGCCATGCTTCCCCTACCTGCCTGGCCCAGGGGTATAGCTGACATCTCCCTTCCTTGCCCACTCTATGAGGACCCATTATGGAGCCAGGTGACCATGACCATGTCAGGAGGAGGGCCCAGGGCCTCTCTCCAGGACAGCCAAGACCTGTGGAACTGGGACAAAGGTCCCGAGAGCCTCCCCTTCCCTGGCCCAGAGCCTAGCTACCCCCCAGGCTTCTCACCCACGCAGTCCCAGCCGGAGGACGAGGTCTCGAAGCCCTGGTCACAGAGGCAGCGGAAGGAGCCCTCCGTGTTGTCGCAGAAGCCGTGGCTCCCGCACACCGTGTCGTTGGCACACTCATCTATGTCTGTGGGACAGTGGAGACTAGAGTGGAGGGTGTGCTCTATGCACTCTCTTTATTTGTTGGGAATACTTACTTATTCGGTCTATTAGCACCAAGATCTGTGAAAAGTAACTTCTAAACACAGGACAAGAAAACTAACATTCCTCTTCAATTTTTGTGCAAGCCCTGCTATACGGAAGATATACGAACTTTCAAACAGCTGCAGAAATAATGTCCTCAGGGGAAAATGAGAACTAGGTGCTTCAGCCCTCCCGCCTCGGACCCCCTCCCTACTCACCTATGCAGTCTCCAGAGGGGGCCAGGTGGAAGCCAGGCTGGCAGCCCAGGACACAGCGGTAGGAGCCAGGGTTATTCTCACACCGCCAGGCCCCACACACCGGGTCTCCGTGGTCCTCGCACTCGTCAATATCTGCCCCCAGAGCCACGAGAGGAGACAGGAGCGGCCAGGTGACTGCTCTGGCCCCACCTTCCCAGCATCCCCAGGCCATGCCCCACAACCTCTGGGGTCCCTGATCTCTTCCAAATTACTGTGATCAGGTCACCCCCCAAACATCAAGTTCAGGGTCATTTCCCCTGACCCAGCAGGGATGGACATCTAAAAGAGTTCTATGCTATTTAGAAAAGCACCGAGCTCTTAGCCTCCTTTCCCCCACCCGTCTGCCGATAGTGGAGCACTTTATACTTCTCTGTGTATAAAACCTTCACCAAAGTGTATTACCGCGAGTTATCTTCGTATCTGTCTCCCTTGCTCAATTTCAAGATTGCCCGTAACTGTCTATTTGTCCTAGCAGCAGACATTGAACCTAGCAGGTGTTTAATAAATGTCTATTGAATCAGTTTGGCTTTAAAAACTGGATTGTGTGCTCTGCTCGAACAAGGGTGATGACTGTCTTCATTCTGTCATCTGCGCACAGTCCCCGAGTCAGCAGAGGCTCAATAAATGCATCATCCATCCGGTGGTGCATGTGTGGAAAGTGCCTGCTTCCAGGAAGCTGCAGTTCCTGGTCCCAGGGAGCTGAGGACTGGGTGGTGGTGGTGGTGGTGGGAGGGGTGGGGGGTAGGGGCAGACATGGGGGCAGAGCCTGCCCATTCCCTCCTGAAACCCTTACCCACACACTCCCCGCTCTCCGGGGAGGGCTGGAAGCCAGTCTCACACAGACAGTCGAAGGAGCCCTCGGTGTTGACACAGTGCCCTCCCAGACACCGGTCTGTGACTGCACACTCGTCCACATCTATAACAGGGACATCTGTCAGCCGACCCAGCCACAGCTCCCTAGACCCTGGGCCCCATGTAGCCCATAGGAGGGCCAGGGAGTGGCTCAGGGTAGGAAAGGGCTCAGGGTTTGAGGAAGAGTCCAGAGCTGGAAGCCAGAGGCCAGGCTGCGGGGAGGAGCCCTGGAACTGGGGCTCTGTCAAGGGGAGAAGGGTGACACTCAAAGAGTTCAGAGGGTGCCTATGGTCAGCCTCCCATCTTCCCTTCCCTGGGTGGGACCAGGAGCATTTTATTTCCGTACTCTAGCCTGTAGCGCCCCCTGCTGCTGACAAGCGGACATGGACAAGTTGGCTTCTCACCCTGGCAGCGGGTGCCTCCCTCTGCGCTGACAAAGCCGGGGGCACAGAGACAGAAGAAGGACCCGTGGCTGTTGAGGCACTCGCCGTGGGGTGCGCAGTACTCCTCTCCCACGCACTCGTCCACATCTGCAGGGAAAAGACAGGCAGTGGTATCCCCTGGGACTATTCCCACCTCCCCCCACACTCACTGCCCCCGTCCCCGTGGGGAGACCTGAGCCGCTCACCCTCACACACAGTGCCATTGGCCAGCTGGAAGCCCGGGGGGCAGAGGCACTGGTAGGAGCCAGCCGTGTTCTTGCACTCGCCTCCCCGGCAGTTGCTCTGGAGGTCTTCACACTCATCCACGTCTGCAGGGTCACACGGGAGGAGGGAAGCCCATGGCAGCGCCTCCCAAGGACAGACACCAATGGGGAGGGTTCCAGGGGGCCTGCCACCTGCCCGAGGAGCCTGGCCCCATGGAGGCATCACCCGCTTACAAAGCAGCCCAGCTTGGAGAGCCTTTGGGCAGAGGATGACTGACGCTCCCTCCACTTCTGCCCCAGCCCGACAGGCTCCGCTGCCTCAGGCTGGGCTTCTCCAGCTGCCCATACAGTGTCCGCCTTGGGGACACTTGGCCTCTCTCAGCAACCCTGGCCTATGATGGCCACACCCCAAGGCCCTTATGGCTCAGATTTTACTGAGAAGCAACAGGAACACAAATGAGAACTAAACCAAGGAAACAGATACACAGAACCCGAGAAGATAACAGAAACTAGATTCTTCAAGTTGGCCTACAGATCCCCTGGTACAGGCCAGGGTTTTTCAAAATAGAGTTCCAGTGCCCTTCCTTAAGAGGAACCCGTGGGGAGCTTGTTAGAACACAGATCCCACCCCCCACCCCATATCAGAGGTTAATTTGGCAGGTCTGGGGCAAGGCCTGGGCAGCTGCCCCCCACCACCCCAGCGATGCCGATGTGTGCTGAAGCATGTGACCCAGGGCTCACCAGCCCCCGGCCCCAGATCTGCAGGTGTGGACATCTGAGGTGGATAGAGGGGCCCCTAGTCTGGGAACAGCCCCTGCTGTGTCCCGGCCACTCCTTTCTCTAAGGGTGATGGCTTGGTCTCCCTCCTCTGCCACAGGGGCTCTTACCTTCACAGGTGTGGCCCCGGGGGCTGGGCCGGAAGCCCTGGTCACAGTCCCTGCAGGAGAAGGAGCCGGCAGTGTTGGTGCAGACTCCTGAGGGGCAGACTCCCGGGAAGGCGCACTCGTCTAGGTCTGGGGCAGATAGCAGCTGTCACCTGGGGCTGGGGAGGGCTCCCTCTACCTGGTCAGGCAGGAACCTCCCAGGCCTCTGGCCACCCTCTCTGAGCGTGTAGGACTCTCTCCAGGCCCCTGGGGAAGGGCAGCCCTGTCTGTGGACTTCTAGGACAATCTCAGCACCCCTTCCCCAGAATGCTCCTGGGCAACTCTACCATCAGCTTCCCTCTGGTCTCAAACTCCCCTTTCCTCCTATCCTCACCTCTAAACTTGAGGATTATGACAGTAGAAGCTCTCCTCGGGGCCAAGTCCATATACAGGGTCTTCTAGCCTAACCTGGAGACCCTCAGCATTAGCCCAAAGCTAGGGGACAAATGGAGTGTTTGGTGGGAGGTAGGAGGGACTATATTACATTCTCGGTCCCTCTCTGCCACCCCCTCCCCAGGGTTACCTTCACAGGCAGTGCCTTCTTCATTCACCCAGTACCCACTCTCGCAGGCTGAGCAGGCGAAGGAGCCCTCCGTGTTGAGGCAGAGGCCTGTGGGGCACGAGGCCCGGCTGGCACACTCGTTGACATCTGAAACAGGCCATGAGTGCTGTGTGGGACTCTGCAGGGCAGACGTGCAGGACAGCAGACTGACAGGTGGGTGGGAACAGGGGAAAGGCCGGGACTTGCAGCGATGTGTTGGGTAGCATGGTTGGGATGCGGGACCAGGGTGGACTGGGAGTGTGTGTACAGAGGGAAGGAGCTGCGGGCTGGCGAGCTGTGGAGGAAGCCTGCTTCAGCATCTTTGTACCTTGGCAGCTCTTCTCATCTGAAGTGACCTCGTAGCCCTGCTCACAAGAGCATCGGAAGGAGCCCTCCAGGTTGTAGCACCTTCCATGGGCGCAGATCCCCGGGGTCAGACACTCGTTCACATCTGTGGGGAGAAGTCCAGGGTAGCGAGCTGGCCTCCTCTCCTCCAGGCAGGCAGTCCCTAGTCGGGCTTAGAGGATCTCCATTATGAGGCCAAGGAACCACCATGCAGAGGACCCAGAGGCCACCTTGCGAAGGCCACGAGGTCATTCCTGCTCCTGGCCCCCCTCACCCAGGCAGGGCAGGATGCCCTTCACACAGAGCTCACTTCATCTCTAACTAGTAACACTGAGAACTTTGCACGTGTCCCAGAAAAGGGGGCAGGTCCCTCAGCCCTGGTTTGGCCCCTCCCAGGACACCCGGAGTGAAGTGTCCAGGACCTGGGACTCACCTTCCAGTGGTCCTGACCCTCTCTGGCTTCCTACCTGCCAACATTCTATGAGCTCATGTTTCCAGCCTCACAACCAGCTCCTCTAGGTGAGTGGGCCTTGCAGAGAAAGGCCAAGCTCTGCCTGGGTGGCTGAAGGGCAGTGTCAAGGGCCTGGGAAATGTCTGCCCTCTCCAGAGCCTCAAAGCATCTATTCACAGCCCAGTCCCTCCTGGCATTCTGCAACCCCGGCCCTCCTTCCTGCAGGGGCGGAGGGAAAAGAGCATTCCTCCTACAGCTGACACGCAGCCCCCTCTGCAGGGAGAAGAGCACCCACTGTCCAGTTGGGCAGTACTGTCTAGATCAGGGGAGGGCAAACTTTTTGACTCGAGGGCCACAATGGGTTCTTAAACTGGACCGGAGGGCCGGAACAAAAGCATGGATGGAGTGTTTGTGTGAACTAATATAAATTCAAAGTAAACATCATTACATAAAAGGGTACGGTCTTTTTTTTTTTTAGTTTTATTCATTTCAAACGGGCCGGATCCGGCCCGCAGGCCGTAGTTTGCCCACGGCTGGTCTAGATACTGCTGTTGGGATGCAGGGGAGCTGAAGACCCCCCCTCCCAGGAAACCACAGCAGGGCCTGGCTGCCAGCTCACACCACCAGAGTCAGCCTCTTCCTAAGATGCTTGGCCCTTCGCTCTACCCAGAATCCAGCCTCAGAGGCTTCTGGGACCTTGGGCTGTAGCTCCCGAATGGATATGACCAAGGAGCCAAAGTGGCCCCCGCCCTAGCTGATTCAGAGAGCGGAGCATCAGTAACTGAAGCACACCCACCTCATGCCCAACGTCATCTGGGAACCCAGCCGGCTCACGAAGGACAATAGCCTCCAAGCCGTGTCCCTCTGCCCACCTCGTTTTCTCCCTGTGTGTGGGCTCAACCAGAGGTCCCAGGCCAAACAGTCCTCTTAGTACCTTGGCAAGCAGCCCTCACCTACACAGCTCCCGCTCAGGCCTCTGTAGCCCTCCTCGCAGGCCAGGCAACTGTAGGAGCCGGGGGAGTTGACGCATCTCCCATCAGGGCAGGTGCCAGGGTGACGGCATTCGTCGATATCTGCAAAATAGCAGCCCCTCCCTTGGTCATCCCTGGGAACCACAGCACATGGGGAGGTCTGTGAGGAAGCAAATCCTGACCCTGCCCTTGGTTGGGAGGAAAGAATGTCAGTTTCTGTACAGACGGAAAGTAGGAAAAAGTGAGTGTTGTCCTGTGTTCCCAGATCCGCTTCCA